AAAAAAAAAAAAAAAGATTAGTGGCTTTGGCTGGGCCCACCTGTAATTCCAGAACTTTGGGAGGCCGAAGGCGGGTGGATCACTTGAGGTCAGGAGTTTGGGACCAGCCTAACCAACATGGTGAAACCCCATCTCTACTAAAAAAGTAAAAAATTAGCTGAGCATGGTGGCACATGCCTGTAATCCCAGCTACTTGGGAGGCTGAGGCCGAAAAATTGTTTGAACCTGAGAGGAGGAGGTTGCAGTGAGCAGAGATTGCGCCATTGCACTCTGGCCTGGGCACCAAGAGTGAAATGTCGTCTGAGAAAAAAAAAAAAAGATTAGCGGGTTTGTGATATAGGTTGTGATCTGGGGACTACATAAGGAAAGACTGAATGTCAAAATAATTGAAGGAATCCAGGCCAGTTGTCTTCAAAATTTCACCAAGGCCTTGCTTTTCGGTTTAGTTAATGCTGACTAACAGTGAACCTCTGCTGTGAAGGTATTTCAGGGGAGGGGATTTGGGATTTATCCCAAACCAGAATTTTCCAGATAACGTGCTTGGTATTCTTCTTAATAACTTCAATTGTTTATTGCTAAATTGACTCTTGAATGTGTGAATTAATGTGCATACCTGAGTAAACTGAGAATTGCTGTTCTGAGACCAGAAGGAATGGACTTGGTGGACCCAGGAATAGATTATCTGAAGCATGTTCTGTTTCATTTTCTCACTTCTCTTTTCTAACAACACTGGTGCTCCCTCCCATTCACTTTTCTTTTTTTTTTTTTTAACCTGAGTGATACTGTGAGGTCTTTTTAAAATTTAAATTTTTATGTATAATTTTTTTTCTACTTTTTTGTGTCTTTATAGACTATAGTGCATATCATTTTATTCCAGACATCAGGAAATGCTTTAGCGTATGGAGTTTTCTTGTGGGTATGAGGAAGAAAGGACAATGGGTTCATTGCCTGCCCAGAGAATTAAGTACAAAGGCTGATAAAGCCTGAGTCCTGTAATTCTTAATAGCTCAGATGACTGAGTCAGGCAGGCCAGAGTTCTGGCCCCAAAGCTTGTGACAATTTGAAACAGTTAGGCATTAAACAGACAGTCAACTTAGCTAGAGTTTACCTATGAAATCATGATATGGTGAGGATTAAATGGAGGAAAAATGGCTGTACATGTACTGACTGACATATAATTAATGCTCAAGAAATGATAGCTGCCATTTTGTTATTGTTCTCTCTTTTTTTCCCCCCTCAGTCATTTTTGTTTGTCAGTTCTTTCCTTTTAAGTGCTAGTTTGGTTGAGTTAGAATCAGTTTCATTAAAAGAAAGTTTAGAGTTTAACCTTTTTTTAAATTTTGATTTTTTAAAAAAAATTAAGCATTTAAGATAATAGAGAATCAGTCTATAGAATGGCTATTTGGGGGACAACTATGTTTTCATTTTGATTGTCATTCTTTTTCTATATTGAGTTCATAGATTACTATAACAGCAATCTGGGATAGATCTGTTTTTTTCATCTGAATGTTTAAAGAAAATTAGGTCCTTCATTTGAGCAAATCAATCCCATATATACAATTACTTTACTATTCCGTGTGTTTAAGAATTCACGGCTGGACTCTGTGGTTCACGCCTGTAATCCCAGCACTTTGGGAGACTGAGGCGGGTGGATTACTTGAGGTCAGGAATTTGAGACCAGCCTGGCCAACATGGCAAATCCCCGTCTCTACTAAAAATACAAAAATTAGCCAGGCTTGGTGTAGTACCTTGCTGCTCCAGAGGCTGAGGCAGGAGAATCACTCGTGGGAGGCGGAGGCTGCAATGAGCTGAGATCGCACCACTGCACTCCAGCCTGGGCGACAGAGTGAGACATTGTCTCAAAAGAAGGAAACAAACAAACAGACAAAAAGAATTCACCTTAGGCTTTTTTTTCTTTTTTTTTTTGAAACAGGTCCTCACTCTGTCACCCAGTCACTCAGGCTGGAGTGTAGTGGTATGATCATGGCTCACTGCAGCTTTGACCTCCCTGGCTCAAATGATCCTTCTGCCTCAGCCTCCCAAGTAGCTGGTACTACAGGCACGTCCCAAAATACCCAGCTAATTTAAAAAAAATTTTTTATAGAGATAGGGTCTCTCTGTGTTGCTCAGGTTGGTCTCGAACTCCTGGGCTCAAGCAGTCCTCCCACCTCAGCTTCCCAAAGTGCTAGGATTATAAGCATTAGCTATTGTACCTGGCCTCTTTTATTTTTAAAGTTTTGTTTTGTTTTGTTTTGTTTTTTTTAGGGGTCTCATTCTGTTGTCCAGGCTGGAGTTCAGTGGCATGATCATTAGCTCACTGCAGCCTTGAACTCCTGGGTCCAAGTAGTTCTCTCACTTCTGCCTCCCGAGCAATAGGGACTACAGATGAGTGCCTGCTAGTTGTTCTGTTTTTTTTCTAGAGTCAGTGTTTTGCTGTGTTGCTGAGACTGAACTCAAATTCCTGGCCTCAAACAATCCTCCTACCTCCCAGAGTGCTGGGATTACAGGCATGAGCCACTGCAAAGCCTTAATTTAGGCCTTCTAAAACCTTTTGAAAATTTAAATTGAGCTTGATTAGGCCTGACAGTCACTTTGTTATATTAGTTTCAGTTTGATTTTTTTTTTTTCTGAAAATTCTTTCTGACACAAGAAAGCTCATTATTTCTGACTTACTGACAGATGAAAGGTGTATTTCTGCAAAGCTGTTTTGTAAATGGTGGTAAAATCTATGCATTTAAAATAAAAAGTATGTCAATTAAAATTTTTAAGATACGATACTATAGCCATGTGATTCTGTTTTTACTCTTTGTGGATAACATTTATTGTTTGGACTAGTATTTATTGGGGAATAGTATGGTTAATTTGTTTTATTTTATTCGTCAGAGTTCAGCTTTTTGTTTATTTCATGATAAATGATATCTTTAAATTAACTTGCATTTCTTAATTTTTGTATATGCCAAATAAAATTTCTACAACAAAAGCATTCTTTGTAAAGTGAATTTAAAATTTTTGAAATAATCTATTTTGTTATTTAATATGCTACAGTGCATTTTTTAAGTTATAAAGAGATTGCAATCCATCTTAATACAGCCAAAGTTTAGTGACTTCCAAAACTATTCTATCTACAGTGTTAAGAATTCAAGTAATATTCCTTAGGAGTGGTGAGAAAGGACATTAAAAAAGAAAAAAAGAATTCAAGTAATATTCCCAAGAAAGACATCAGCCTTTGCTTCCCTTTTAATATTTACCCCTTAAATACTAACACACTATTTCTTGTTTTTTAAAATTCATTTTTTTCTTATTCATATCATGTTAGTATGTCTAGCAAAGGCCTTTTGATTTTATGTCTTAATTCCAAATTTAGGCTTTTTAAAAGTGAAACTATACATTATCAAGTATCAAACAGGACCTTAGAAGTTCTTGACAGTTTATGTACTTTATATTCTTGAAGTTTTTACTTTCATATTCAGCTTGCCTATCATATGATTCCTTATCTAAGACTCAAAAAGTGTTCTAATTTTTTTATTTGTGTTAATTTGCTGCTGTTATTATAGATGATTATGCTAAGTAATGATACCAGTAATAGTCAAAGGAGAAAGTAGTTCATCATTCTTTCAACTAAATCTACAGAAAGAGGAAACTTTTCTTGGTATTAAATTAATTACATTTAAAGTTATATTTATTCTGTTAGTTCCTTTTAAAATGGAGAAGATCAGCATATAAGGATATGCTTTCTTTAGAAGTTTCACATTAATTTCTTTGTTGTGACTCATTTTAGTGAATGGGTTTCTCAAATGCCATCTATTATTTTTAACTGATGTTCTTTTATCACTTCTCTCCCAGTGTCTGTTTACTAATTTGTGTTCTTTATGTCAATATTATTTTATTTAATACCATCACATATTGTAAAAAAATGCTTTTGTTTGTTTGTTTTTGTTTTTGTTTTTGTTTTTTTTGCCATGCTAAGCAAGATAGTAGCTACTTTTGTGGACACCAGTATCCTTAAATGGAAGCACTTGTCTATTACTTTCCATTAAAATTTTTTTCATTCCTTAATATTCTCTTACATGAAATTGAGTAGTCTGATAAATAAGAAAATTATACAAAAATGTTTTCCTTGTTATAACACTATGTCTAATATTCCAGATATTAGCCTTAAATGTTGTGTATTTTTTTCTGTCTTTAAAATAGATGATCCATAATTACATGGAACACTTAGAAAGAACAAAACTTCATCAGCTCTCAGGGAGTGATCAACTAGAATCCACAGCTCATAGTAGAATTAGGTAAGCTTTGTTATATATTTTGCCTTGAGAAAAAGTAAAATAAATAATATGTTTGTTTCTGTTTTTTCTGTTCTTTAATCCTGGAACAATAGTGAGGCTTATTCAAAAAGCTCTCCACTGTGGCTGGAATGCTACAGGAGAGAATAGCACAGAAAAATAAAAATCATTTTTACCATTGAAAAGGTAAATTATAAGCCATCCATATAAGCAGCACATTGAGTATTTAGATTGTTTTCTGATACTTGATGTAGATTATACTAGGTTTTAAATTTTCTAATTTGTGGGAATGCTGAAATTTTTTATTTCTCCTGTGTAATTGGTTTGAAGTCCTTTTTGTTACAGAGAGGCATATTTGAAAGGGTTAGCTAGCCATCTGTTTGATGTAGGAGTGTGAATAAATTATGTAGATCTTCAGGCATTGTAGCCAATGAGCTAAGCCAGGACTCTTAGTGGAGGGGAAAATAGTTAATAGGCTGGCTGTCGCTCGGGGTTGCTGCATAAATGCTAGGAGCAGCAGCTCTATGGTTATGAGGTGGGGAGAGCGGAATGACGTCATCGCTTGGGAGCTGCTGCAGGATGGAGTGGAAAGCTGCTGCTGATGGCATTGTTTTTGTGGCAGCAAGCTGAATGACAGATCCTCACTACAAAGATACCCCTTTGGCCCCCGTGTAGGCCTCCTGGTTCGGGTGTTTCACCATGCCAGCACAGCGCCATGAGTCCTGGATGCATGCTGCTGTTTGTGTTTGGCTTTGTTGGCGGGGCGGTGGTCATTAATTCTGCTATCTTAGTATCTCTCTCTGTTTTGCTGCTTGTGCACTTTTCTATTTCTACCGGTGTGCCAGCTCTGACGCAGAACCTACCAAGGATACTCAGGTACTCCCATCTCTCTTAGAAGCCCCTGCTTAGCTGGTTTTTCTTTAATTTTTAGCTCCACGGTCTGCTTTGTAACCATTTCTGTTGAAGATTGAAACAATGGAAAATGGCCTGAAGCTAGGATTTTGATTCTTATTTATAGTAATTTATAGACCATCAGTTAGGATTATAGCTTTGTGTTTAGAAATCACTGACTAAAGAAAAGGATTTTCATATCGTACTTACACACAAGTACAAGGTCAGTGTGGTCTTGTTTTAAGCAGAATGTTCAAAGTAAAAGGAGAGAGCAAGAGTAGAGTGCTGGGTCCAAGTTTACACAACCTCTGCATTTAGCTTCTGAGCATTTAGGGGCAAATATCTTTTATGCTTGTACTTACAGTCAATTAGACACAGGCCATAAGTTTATTTTGTTTTAATTATCCTTTGATAGAGGTTCAGCTATCATTTTTGTAATTTTTGATAATAGCTCATGGGAAACGGCAATTTAAATATTTTCCTCCTAAGACAAAATGTTTTAAAGTGAAAAAATTTAAGACTTTTAGGTTAAGGAATGCATTTTTCCCCATTATTTACACATCAAAGTTGTGAAAGCTTTACAAAGTCTATTCACTATTGTTTTGTCAGATGTTGCCCTTTCTTTTCTTTGTAGTCTTGGGTGACAAATATCCATGCCTGCTTGTGGGGGTAGTCATTAATCTCTGTAGCTTTACTGTTGCTGACTCTACTTATACCCTGTAAGAGCCATCTTCTATATTTTAGAGGCTTAAGGTTATGGTTTCTTTTGTTTTCTAAACCATCAGACTAACACTCTCTGTTTTGTTTAGATTTCTGCTTTGTGCATGATTTTAAATGAAAGTTCATAGTATATAGTTTTTATCTATTATTTAAATGTTCATAAAATATTTAAACCCTAATTGTGGATTTAGATAAATTAAGAAGAATTAAAGTAGTAAATTCCCTCAATGTATTTCTTTTTATTCATAGATTAGTTCAAGTTCAATATTAGTTGAAACCCCAGCAATTAAATTTCATCTGTGATTTAAAACTAGATACTTGATCTTTCATTTTCTTTCTTGATTTCTAAAAATTGGGAACAATCTTACTACTTGTACGTATGTTAGTACGTAAAAGATTTGTATACGTGTATCTGTATATTTAGGGTTTGAAGAAATTAAAAGCAGCTGAACTTAAGAATATGTAGAAAATTTAAAAGACTTATGTTAAGGGGCTGTCTTGGGTTTAGGTTTCATTTGAGAGGGCAGTGCCATGAGCTGCTGTGCGGTGCCTGCAAGTGGGTACGACAAGCCTTTAGAGTTGAACTGCCTGGGTGCAAATGCTCTATTGCATGCAGCTGTAGGACCTCTGGCATGTTGCTTAATCTCTCTCTGCCTGAGTTTTCTCTCCTGATGGACTTACCCTATTGGGTTGTTTTAAAAATAAGTGATTTTATTATTTTGTATTTAATTATAGCTGTAAGATATATGGTAAATTAATCCAGTAAATAATTTTCATAGTTACTTATATGTGCCTATGTTTGGCAGAAATTGTTTTAGCTACAGCTTTTATTGATAAAATACCTTATAATTAAATTTTAAAGTTCTTTACCACAAAAATTGCTACTGATCTGATTAAAGATATCAAAGTCTTAGATATTAATGTTAAATTGCCAAAAAGCTGGTAGTTCCATGTAGGAAGTTCCAAGGGAAGCGAAGGGCATGAAGTTGAACAGGACTGGCTTTGAATCCAAACTCAGCCAATTACTAGTGCCTAAAGTCTCTAAACATCACTTTTTCTACTCTGAAAGTTGGAAAAATAGTCCCTGTTTCTCAATAAGGATTAGATGAGATAATGTAAATAAATCATGTAGCTCAGCACCCATCATATGGTGAGTGTTCAGCAATGTACTCTTTTATCTCCCTTTATAGATTTTACAAATTAGTTGTATTAGATGTGAATATAGCCAAAAGGCTGTTTCAAAAATGTAGGTGTAAAATTATTTACACACATAAGCTAACATTTAATAACCAACTCAAAAATGGATATATAGAAGTAGGGTAATTAAGAAAATAAAAGAAGATTTCTGATAGTTGGTGACAGCTTTGTTTTCTAGACAAGTAATAACAGATATTTCAGTCTGCAGATATAAATCTGCCACTTGATAGTTTTCCACGTGTTTCTCTTTTTTTTTCCCTTCTTCTGTGAGTTTAACTGAAGCATTTAATACATACCAACATAGTACTGGACTAATGTTTACCTTTAGTTTAGGGTTTCTTTTCAAAAGTAGGATTCTCACAAACTTGCCTAATTATGCCAACTATATGTAATTTATAAGTAAAATAAGGGGAGGAGTATGTAGTGATTATTTTTTCAGAGTTGGAATATTGTATCCCACTTGACAGATAGCTGTCAGTCTCTGAAGAGATGCCCCCTCCCTGTAGAGTAGTTTCTGAATGATAGACACAAGTAAATTAAAAAAGGTGGGAATTCTACTTGTAATTTGGGTTGTAGATTTTGTTGACTGTTGATTATAGATTTTGTTGACTGATTTTGTTTAATTTTAGGAAAGTAAAACTTGGATTCATAGAATACCCCTTCCCCTAGTAGTTTTAAACTTCTTTAGTATTTGATATGTGTGAGAATGAATGTGTTGTTATTCATATAGGATAATAATTCTAATGACTGGCTTATATTTTGATTTCTGTTAGTGTGAGGGAGTCTTATGAAGTCTATATATCACCTTCCTGGTTGTCTTTGCATTTTGGGTTAGAGAGCTTTTCATTATATTCAGTTATTAAATTCCCAGTCACCTTTTGCTTAAGTCATTAAGGTGTGTTAGAAAATAAATAAAAGTCAGCTAGCAGCTCTTAGACCTCTTGGATTTTCTGTTCACAAAATATAGGGGAAAAACATCAGGTTGACAACTTATTTTGTCCAGAATGGATATGAAAAGGAAATCTAGCTACTAACCACTGTCACCATCATTTAATGAAAGGGCATTTTAAAATCAGAGAAGAATAAAAGATGTAATTTAAAATAAGGGTCAGTTGTTTTCTTTTTTTTTGAGATGGAGTCTCGCTCTGTCACCCATGCTGGAGTGCAGTGATGCAATCTCGACTCACTGCAACCTCTGCCTCCCAGGTGCAAACAATTCTTCTGCCTCAGCCTCCCCAGTAGCTGGGACTATAGGCTTACACTACCGTGCCTGGCTAATTTTTATATTTTTTTAGTAGAGACAGGGTTTCACCATGTTGGCCAGGATGGTCTTGATCTCCTGACCTCGTGATCCGCCCGCCTTGGCCTCCCAAAGTGCTGGGATTACAGGCGTGAGCCACTGTGCCTGGCCAGGGTCATTTTCAAGAAAGAGTAGGGTTCTATAGTATATGGGAATATATATGTGATACAATATGTAGTATATTATCTATGCACTAAGGAAATAATAAATAATGCCTCTTTTTTTCATGGACTTATGAAAACTTTGTTGCTGAACAGCATTTGGGAATAACTGGTATAAACATAATAACTGACTAGTCACTTTAATTTTTGTCATTTGATCGTCCTGGCAGCCCATAGTCACAAACTTAGATTTGGTATTAAAATTTACCCTTTTGGCCAGGTGCAGTGGCTAACACCTGTAATCCCAGGAGGCAGATCACATGAGGTCAGGAGTTTGAGACCAGCCTGGCCAACATGGTGAAACCTTGTTTCTATTAAAAGTACAAAAATTAGCTGGGTGTGGTGGCACATGCTTGTAAACCCACTACTTGGGAGGCTGAGGCAGAATTACTTGAACCTGGGAGGCAGAGGTTGCAGTGAGCTGAGATGGTTCCACTACACTCCAGTGTGGATGACACAGCAAGACTCTGTCTCAAAAAAAAACCAAACCAAAAACACGTACCCTCTTATTATACTGCCTTCCTGCTTTTGAATTTTCCCAATAAAGTAAAGTTCTGTTTTTAAATTTTATTTCCTTGTGCATACAACTTTGATTAAATGTCGTCTGTCAACCCCTTTGCTTCACCTCATTTTTAAGAAGGCATTGGGACAGTTTTATCAGTCCTTTTAGATTGTTAGGAATGGAAGAACGCACCTTTTGTGTTAAGTGAAGGCCCATTTCAAAAGCGGCTCAAGTTTCTTGGTATAAAAATGAACTACAGAATAAAAGACTTGCTTAGCAAAACTGAAATTTTCCCATTTTTATTAATAACCTCATTGTTTCTATTCTAACTTATATTCTTACCAGTAGAGGTATGAATTCCAGGAGGCACCAAACCTTTAGTGTCTGATTTCTTTCCAGTTTCTGCACTCTTGAGTTAATGACCCAGGATGACTGGCTAGTGGGCTTGTTTCCACCTTCTAAAAGTGCTTTCATTTGGAATATTCTGTGCATCAACAAAGGATGTGTTTCTCATTGAAATTCTATTATAATTAAAATTGTAACTCTTGTTCATTGAAACTTCCCACAAAGCAGTGGAAATTCAGTAATCTTTTATAGAATTATTTGGCCTTCTTATTTGGAAAAAACTGACAATGGTTTTTTCATACATACTGTGCTTGAAAGGAACTCGTATAGTGGTTCTGTAGAAAAACAGAGCTTTCCTACTGGAGTGGGGTGGGGAAGAAAGATATTTTTGAGTTCTTTTCATCATTAAGGTAGCCCTGATTTAGATAATATATTGATTTTCCTCTAGCCAGGAAAGGCGTACCCTGAAGAGGCTTCAGTAAACATCCAGGGATTAGCGAGAGGATTTGGGAAGTCTAGAAATGGGTTGTGCTCACTTCCAAAGGAGGTTGCAGGTTTCCCTAGGGCTAAGCTACATATAAAAAAAGCTCAGCAGCAGCTCTTCTCCAGACCAGACTAGACCACTGACTGCTTCTAGGGCAAGGAACTCATCAGTAACTTATAATTTCCTTAACCCTTCTTACCGCTTTTCTTAGTTGATTTCTTGAGGCTAACTAAACTGGGACTGTCCTTTCTCTTTGGTAAGTCTGTTTTATTCAGATGGGCAGATAGTGTTATTTTTGAGTGATGGTTCTAAAACAGTGACAGTCCAGGCTTATTACTTATAGTCATGGCAAATTAAAAAGTGAAAGTAAATGAAGTCCTAATTTTTTTTCTCCCCTCTTCAAATAGAAAAGAACGTCCTATATCATTAGGAATTTTCCCATTACCTGCTGGAGATGGATTGCTTACACCTGACACTCAGAAAGGAGGAGAGACCCCTGGATCTGAGCAATGGAAATTTCAGGAATTAAGTCAACCACGTTCTCATACCAGCCTGAAGGTAAGCTTTATGCTGTTGAAATCGTCAGTTTACATTTCATAAACTTTCTTATCCTAATTGAAGTGCTAGATGACCAGAGTATAGTAAAATATAATCGTTTGTATACATTCAGTTTGTAAAATTTATTTTTTTAATTGGAAATGAGCTCTTCCCAAAGAGTGTGATTTTTACTATTTTATTTCAAATTATATAGGAAAACAAGTGAAGCATTATATCATCTTGATTAGCATACTAATAACAAATTAATTTCTATTTGATTTAGGCTAGGGTGACTAGTGAACCTAATTATATTAGAATTGAAAATCACTATTACCAGAAAGCGTTGGTTCACTGTTAGAGGCTTTCGAATACAGTAGGGTTTCACTTACAGAAAAACGAAACAAATACACTGTTCCTTCCTTAAAACCACATCATAAAGCAATCTGCAAAAATGAATTATGTGTATCTAAAAAGGCTTGGTGTAAATTAATTATAGATTATGTTCTTGACTGAGAACTTTCATCAAATATGTGATAAATGTAAACAATAGTGTACACTGAGTGGATATGAACTAATAACTAACTTTTAAGAATATTTGAAGTTATAGTCTATATCTTTTAAAATGAAATATTCATAAAGATATTGATTATAAAACATCCTTTGTTACCTTATCTGCTACGGTAAATCTACTCTTGTGAGACAACACCTACAATAAATAGAAATGAATTACATGTATATTATTTCCTTTTCCTGCTTTATTTTTCCTCATAATGCTTATCATGGTCTAAGTATGTAAAGATAGTTCTTAACAATGCTTCTAAAATACTGTCATTTACAGTATTTATTTGCCTCTAGACTCTTCACTAAGAACATAAATTCTGCCAGGCGCGGTGGCTCACGCCTGTAATCCCAGCACTTTGGGAGGCCGAGGCGGGTGGATCACGAGGTCAAGAGATCGAGACCATCCTGGTCAACATGGTGAAACCCCGTCTCTACTAAAAATACAAAAAATTAGCTGGGCATGGTGGCGCATGCCTGTAATCCCAGCTACTCAGGAGGCTGAGGCAGGAGAATTGCCTGAACCCAGGAGGCGGAGGTTGCGGTGAGCCGAGATTGCGCCATTGCACTCCAGCCTGGGCAACAAGAGCGAAACTCTGACTCAAAAAAAAAAAAAGAACATAAATTCCATGAGGTTTATTTGCTGCTATATCCCCAGCACTAGGAAAAGTGCCTAGCATATTGTAGGTACTCAGAACATGTTTTGTTGAATGAATGATTTGTTTTAGATGTTAGAAAGAATCTTTGGGGACAATATAAGTGGTAGAGGCATTTAGAATTATTCTATTGACTTTTGAAATGTGCTCAAAACAGTAAGCAGTTGATAAATATTTGATAGCTTTTCTCCCACTGAAAAGTATTTTTAACAGTAAGGGTTACCTTACATTTTCCCCTTCTTGATCAATTTGTTAGAAGCTAATACTGCTTAGTATTAGCCCACAGTGATGTTACTGGGCATATCTCTCTCTCTCTCTCTTTCTCTCTCTTTTTTTTTTTTTTGAAATGGACTCTTGCTCTGTCACTCAGGCTGGAGTGCAAGGCGTGATCTTGGCTTACTGCAACCTCCTCCTCCCGGTTCAAACAATTCTCCTGCCTCAGCCTCCTGAGTAGCTGGGATTACAGGCACCACCGCCATGCCTGGCTAATTTTTGTATTTTTAATAGAGATGAGATTTCACCATGTTGGCCAGGCTGGTCTTGAACACCTGACCTAAGGTGATCCACTGGCCTCAGCCTCCCAAAGTGCTGGGATTACAGGTGTGAGCCATCACACCCAGCTGTAATTCTTTCTTTTACTCCTGTACCACAGTGGCTCTTTTAGCCTGCCAGTAGGTTTAATAGATTTTCCAAAACACTCATGTCTCAGTCGCCTACTTGCCATGTCTGCTTTCCCAAAACAAAATTAAGTAGGAGGGATACTTTTAGTACCATGGCAACTATATTTTAATTACTACTCAAAAGTGCACCTTAAGAGATTACTATAATTCTCTTCATTTTTTAATCCACTGATATGCTGTGCCATAACTTTAGTGACAAGTTATAAACCAATTAACAAATTATTTCTATAGACTTAAGGAATTTCTTGTGTCCTCCCTAGAAATACTAAGGGAAGTACTCCAGAGAGTTTTTAAAATGAAAATGCTATCTGTTTCTACTTGGTTTGGACCTGTAGGCACTAAATGAAGATAAAGACTCAATGGATAAGGATTTCCAGGAATGGGGTAGTACTTACAAAATGACAAAAGTCTAGTTTGTAAAGTATGTTACTAGTTATGATGTACAGTATTTTATTACTCACCTAAACCCTTGTCGTTCACTAGGTAACTTTCTACTTTACCAGGGCTGGAAGTCAGAGATCTAGGATTCACTTGTGGGCTATGCCACAGGCATGTCACATGCCCTATCATCTTGATTTCCATGTATAATGGGAATTGGACTATATTCTAATTTAAAATATAATTTCCCCTGAGATTGGGGATGACCTAGCCATCTTATTTTTTTTATTTTTATTTTTTTTGAGATGGAGTCTCGCTCTTCGCCAAGGCTGGAGTGCAGTGGTGCGATCTTGGCTCACTGCAACCACCGTCTCCTGGGTTCAAGCGATTCTCCTGTCTCAGCCTCCCTAGTAGCTGGGATTACAGGTGCCCACCATTATGCCCCGCTAATTTTTGTATTTTTAGTAGAGACAGGGTTTCACCATATTGGTCAGGCTGGTCTTGAACTCCTGACCTCATTGTCTGCCCGCCTAGGCCTCCCAAAGTGCTGGGACTACAGGCGTGAGCCACCGAGCCTGGCCGACCTAGCCATCTTTTAGGGCATGCTTTGACTTCATTATGAAAAAATGGAGGTGTAAATTATAATTAACATTAGTTTTAGTACCACAGTCTTTCTGTGAAGTAAGGTTAAGGTGAAAATATCCTGTGAGAAAACCACAGGACAGAGAATGACAGGAACTTTGTGGCAGAAGAACGGCAGATAAGGGGATTTGCCAGTGATTGTAAAGTTATGGCCCTTCTTTGTTGGTGTATTACCAGTTTCTCATTGTGGGAGACCTGTGGTGAGTGAGGTTGTAGATAATCCAATGGATTTTCTAGGAATGAGGCACCTGGAAAAATGTTTAAGATCTTAAAAAGAAATGTTTGTACATATTCTTGATTTATCACAATCTCATAGCGATCGACAAATATGTAAACAAATACATGAAAAAAATAGAACTTTAAGTATTGTTAAAGCAAGGTAAGCTAAAGAATAATTACTAGGAAGGGGTACTTATTTTAGGGTGTGAGAGAAATCCTCTGGAAGATGGCTTGCATCCTGACATGGGGACATGCAGGTGCATGGAAAGGTCTGGAGGAGTACATGTTGAAGATGAGATGGCAAATGTGAAGGCCCTGACATGGGAAAACACTTCAGCATGTTTAAATGGCAATTTTCTCTTCATTCCATTCAGACTTTCAGTCCTACCTGCTACACCAACATGCCTTCTGTCAAAGGTGCTGAAAGAATCCATCTTTCCAAATCTAATGGAAAATTCTCAGTCCTCATCTTACCTTTTAGCAGCATTTATATATTTGAATATGTTCAGCTTCTTGAAATACTTCCTTCAGTTTGCTTCCAGGATTCCCCCTGGCAAACACACACTGGTTTTCTTCACCATTCCTTCTCTTTTGCTGGTTTCTCTTCTGCTTTTGGATCTCTAAATGTTGGGGTACCCCAGGGCTTAAACCTTAGCCCTTCTCTTAATCTGGGTAGATCAAATTCCATGTCTTTAAATGCCATCTATGCATCAGTGTTCACAAATTTGAATCTCCAACCCATATCTCTTCCCTGGACTCTAGACCTCTGCATCTAATTGCTTTTCTTTATAGCTTCCCCATATATATATGCTTTACCTTGCCTAGATTTCCACCAGTAGAAATACTATCATTCAAGGTCAGTCCAAATATCACAATTTACATGTAGTCTCACTAACACCCAAAGGACTTAACACCCTATTGATTGTCTTCAAATCGAGTTTAGAGATCAGTTGAAGACAGAAAGCAGGGGAGTTTTGTATTGTTTCATTAACAGAAATTTTTTACTGGGGAACATCTAGTGAAATTGATAAAAAGAAACTCCATATATTAAATGATTAAAGCTGTTCCGATAAAAAGTGTATTATAAAAGTGCTACAGACTGGATGTGGTGGCTCATGCCTATAGCCTGAGTACTTTGGGAGGGCAAGGCAGGAAGATCGCTTGAGTCCAGGAGTTCAAAACCGGTCTAGGCAACTTAGTGGGACTCTGTGTCTTTTCCTTTTTTAAAAAAAAGTTTTATTATCTCTATATATATTCATTATTTATATATATTTTTATTTTTATTTTATTTTTGAGATGAAGTTTAGCTTTGTTGCCCATGCTGCAGTGCAATTGTGCACTCTCGGCTCACTGCAACCTCCGCCACCTGGGTTCAAGAGATTCTCCTGCCTCAGCCTCCCAAGTAGCTGGGATTATAGATGTGCACCATCATGCCTGGCTAATTTTTGTATTTTTAGTAGAGATGGGGTTTTGCCATGTTGGCCAGGCTGGTCTTGAACTCCTAAACTCAAGTGATCTGCCCGCCTCAGCCTCCCAAAATGCTGGGATTACAGGCATGAGCCACTGCACCCGGCCTATTTTTCATATATTAAAAAAATTTTTTTCCTTCAGTGTCAAGTGACTTCATCTCTACGAACTATTTAAAAATTAGATGTGCATGGTGGTGTGCGCCTTTAGTCCCAGCTACACAGGAGGCACAGGCAGGAGGATCACTTGAGCCTGGGAGGCTGAGGCTATTGTGAGCCATGATCATGCCATTGCACTCCAGCCTAGGTGACAGAGTAAGTTCTTGTCCCAAGAAAAATAATAATAATAATAATAATAATAGGCTAAAGCTGAGAATGGACAAAATGTTAAGGTGAGACAGTTAATCTTACTGAATTCACGA